CGGCTGACCTGTGTGGTGGTCGTGCGGCGGCGGGCGGGGCGAGGAGAGCGCAGGAGAGGACAAGCAGCAGCAACCACCTCATTGCGGGCGTCGGGATCTGCAAAATGTTGGTTACTTGTTTAGCTTTAACACTACGAGACAAGAAGCACATCATTAGATTCTGAAATTACTCTATATGACGTTTATCTTTCCAGGCGATGTAGATGTACTATTCAACGTACGCACAAAAGGCTGTAAAAATAAAACGAGTGCTCAATATGGCTACCAGATTGTCAAAGCAACAATCCCCTGCTCCGCAATAGCTGATGCACTGCACTGTGGAGACGAGACAGAATCTCTCGCCGTAGAGATCCAACTGGCCGGGGGACTCCTCAAACTGCGTCACAGGAAAGCATCTCTTATATATGACAAACAGCACCGGCGTCCGCCCTCGAGTGCAGTCACGGATTTTCCCAAGAAGAATGACGCCGGGCAGTTGCACGTAATTTTGGTCGGTTTACACAATGCATCCTTCCCCTGTTTTGTCGGGAAGGAAATCTTTCAAGAAAAGCTAAGACACTAAGAATCTTAGTATTCAAACACAAGTTGAAGAGTGACCATAGTAAGCAACTTATCACGAAGGTTCGCATGCTAATTACCATGGGAGATAGCAATCTAGATAATAGCTTACGATATCGAAGAGAAAAAAAATATTCACGAAATCTCCTTTTATAATACACTTTGAGGAAAGAAGAATCAACCATTAGATTTCTAATCTCAGGTTAGCCTCAGGCATTCCCGTTGCATAACCAGGCTGCGTCAAGGAAGACCGTGCTACATTTCTCTTCTCGCCTTCGTTCCAGCTAAACGAATGGTCCATTTCCCTGTTGTCTGAGACGAAATTGTAGATCTTATAGCCTCTTCTAGTGTTTTTTTTTTTTTTTTTTTTTTTCAGACGGAGAATTTAAATGTTCTTTTTATTATTATAAAATCTGGATTTTTTTGATGACGAAGGTACCCGTTAATTTTATATCACAGCGTTTTTTAGTTTTTGAAAGATAACTCAGCTACGCCTCCGTTAACTAATGATGAAGTATCTTATATGGGGTTTCAGTCTCCTCACACACACACATACACACACACACACACACACACACACACACACACACACACACACACACACACACACACACACACGCACACACACACACACTTATATATATAAACACACGTACATACTGGCTCGTTCTCTGCCAAACTCTTTTTACATAAATCTATGATACAAATTCGGAACGGCACAAGAAACTAAGAAGAACACATAAATTCCTAAAAATGGGAGCGTGCCTTTACCGTCTATGTCTTGAGAGGACACGCGAAAGCGAGAACGTTTAATTCGCTTTTTACGTGTAATTGATATGAAGACACCGACGGGGAAAAGAAAAAGAAGGAAAAGTGAAAATTGAAATGAATAAATTACGAAATAGTAACAATGACCAGGCTGATAACTGTATTAAGAACTGACATTACCAACAATGTTCAAAAACAGTGACAATCTTGCTTTTAAACCGATTGACAATTGTAATTATCACCGCCCATGACATTTACCATCATCACTATGCTATCAAGGACATCAACAAAATCCGATTTCAAAATCCCGAAAGACAAGTCCGAGAGATGGCGTGATATACAGTAAGGCAACTCGCGCAAAAACAACGAAGACAAATTCCAACAACGACATTGAACATACTGTAATCCCGACGTGAAGACAATATAATCCCAACAACCAAGATAAAGCAATCGCGACAACGAAGGCAATGTAACCCCTCCAACGAGGACAGCGTAATCCCGAAGCGCGCGCCCGCCGCCGTAATGGGACGCCGCCCGAACCGTCACACAAATTATCTCACTAATATTGTCTCTGCTATTTCTCGCGTCCCGACCCCATTGCTCGCTCGCTCCTGTGGGGGCGTGGGGCTTGGCCGCAGGACACGAGGGTCGTTTTCTGTCGTGTTATGTGTGTGTGTGTGTGTGTGTGTGTGTGTGTGTGTGTGTGTGTGTGTGTGTGTGTGTGTGTGTGTGTGTGTGTGTGTGTGTGTGTGTGTGCGGCGTGTGCATGATAGAAAAACATGCATACGCATTTATAACCAAAGATTAATTATTTTCCATTTTGGTATTTTAGTTTAAATATCTATGAATGTTATTCCTTTACCTTCCATTTGTACTATAATCCATCTGGAAACAATGATAACACTTTCCTTAACTGATTGATTTTGAATAGAATGCTACAAATATAACTATATACACCAACTCTCTCTTTTTCGGGAGGCTAAAGCACTGAAACGTTTTATTCAGTTAACACGTCAGCATTCTCCTCTGGCCACTGAGGTCGGAGCGGAAACTACCAAGTGCCGCGTTGACGCAGCAACAACGGAAGGAAGGGTCGCTCGCTCGCCCATCGGTGCCTGGATGGTAACGATCCGTGACGTAAAACCGGTGACGAGGATGCGCATAAATACGGAGA